CCAGAAGACCCTCCACTGGCCATATGTTGATTGCTGAATCTGGGTAATGGGGACGTGGAGGTTCATTGTACTACTTATTCTATTGGTGAACATATTTAGAAACTCCTATCGCAAAAAGGGAGAATAAAGCTTTTAACTGCCTATAGTTTAAAGAAAAGATTTCAGCTGTCACAGTTCAAGTTCATTCAAAGAACTGTCAATCTCAATTAAAAGACTGAACAAGTATATCACCTGTCACAATAAACCTCAATCTCTTTAAAGACTGCAAATCACATATCCATGAAGAGTTTTCCCTCCCTTTGTTCTTCCCTCCCTCGCTCGCTCTTTTAGTTTCACTATAATAACCACTGCTCCTGGGGTTTCAGCAGCCAAGTGAGATCTTTTGCAAGATACTTGTATATTCACAAAACAGATGCACAGAATTCCACAGGTGTAGTGACAAGTGACTGTAAGGATGCCCAATGCATTACCTCTAGGCACTGTTCACTTCTGGCAGGCCTCCACTGTAACCCTGTATAGCCCAAGCTAACCCCAGGGTGTCAACTCATAGTACTGTCACTATTGACTGCCAGCTGCACTGTGAACTTCTTGGGGGCTAGACGCTTGGTCTTAATCTTTATATTCTGCACTTAGACTTAGCAGGTACAAAATAAACCTTTGATGAACGAGAGAACAAATCTGTGAATCTCAAAGTTAGTGCTCATCCTAAAACTAAACATTTTCAAATTTTTCCAAAACTTAATTTCTACTACTGCACATTTGTTAATAAACTGTTTCTGAAACCAAAGTTTGAGTTCTGAAGCCAATTAATATTTGCATGTGAATAAATACCTTAATTTATAAGGTAATAATTTATCTTAATCTATTGTTTTCATTAAAGAAAGTGACAGCCTGTGGATAATCAGACTTAAGAGTCACATAAACAGGAATTATAATTAGCATGAATTCATAATTACAAACACCTTATAATTTATTCCATATTTACTGTATGGCTGGCACTGTTATTTCATTTTTTTCTCATACAAGTGAGAAAAAAGCACTATTGTTCCCATTTTATAGCTGAGCAAGTAGACTTCAGAGGTTAGGTTACTTGCCCAAGGACATACAGCTGTAGGTGATAAAAGTGAGTCAAACCCACCCCGTGTGCCTAACAGCTTTTCAGCAGCCTGACTGATGCCCTTCCTTTAATGGTTGGAGCAGACTCCTCCCCTCCATACGTAATATGCACAGAAAACTTGAGTCTGTAACCTGGGGAGGTTTTGATTTGATTTTTCTGTTGTTCCTATATCTATATTACAAGACAAGAACCAAACAATGGGAAACAAGTCACTTAACTTGTTTGCCTTGTCTGTGTAGTAATAATAGCTTAGTCTTATATATAGCACTTCTACATAAATACCAGGTACAGGTGTAAACCCTTTATGTGTATCAATGCAGTCCTGAAAGCCATTCAAAGATGTAGGTCCTATTATCATTTTCATGACGCTCAGAGAGGTTAGATAAGAGCCAAGCTAGCATTTCAGCATTCGCAGTCTGGCTCCAGATTCCATGTTCTTTTTTTTCTCTTTTTCTAGAGATAGTCTTGCTCTGTTGCCCAGGCTGGAGGGCAGTGATGTGACCATGACTCACTGCATCTTCAACCTCCCTGACATAAGTGATCCTCCCACCTCAGCCTCTGGAGGAGCTGGGACTAAACGTGTGCAGCACCACACCCAGCTAATTTTAAAATTATCTGTAGAGACAAGGTCTCACTCTGTTGCCCAGGCTGGTCTCTAACTCCTGGGCTCAAGTGATCCTCCTGCCTTGGCCTCCAAAAGTGTGGGGATTACAGGTGTGAGCCACCACGCCCAGAATTCCATGTTCTTAATCATCTGCTAACTGCCTAATATGTACACACATATTTGGGTTAATCTAAAATGCATGGTTTAAAGATTAAACCTTGTTTATCCTCTAAATAGTAGCAAAGTTACTGTTCACTTACATTGTCTTTTTTCAGGTATATTTTTTAGCCTTCAATATCAAAATTATGACAATTACAATGATCAACATTAGTTTACTAAAGTAGCCACTGTTCTTTTCCATCTTTATCACCATATAGAAAATTTTTGATACATGATATATATTGAAAAAAACTCAAGCAAAGTTCATTTTAAACTCAAGATTTTGACTTATTAAATCAATAACATTTCTGAAGCTAATCAACTCTAATAAGAGATTATATAAATTACAGTAAAGAGTCCATTCGAAAATCCTTAAAAATGAAAAACAGAGTGTGGTCAGTCTATAGAAAATACTAACTTTAACAACAGCAGCATAGGTTCCTAGCGCTATTTTAAAAAACAAAGGAGCAGCCAGGCACAGTGGCTCACGCCTGTAATCCCAGCACTTTGGGAGACTGAGAGAGGTAGATCACCTGAAGTCAGGAGCTTGAGACCAGCCTGGCCAACATGGTGAAACCCTTGCTCTACTAAAGATACAAAAAATTAGCCGGGGATGGTGGCAAGTGCCTGTAATCCCAGCTACTCAGGAGACTGAGGCAGGAGAATCGCTTGAATCCAGGAGGTAGAGGTTGTGGTGAGCTGAGATTGCGCCACCGCACTCCAGCATGGGCAACAAGAGCAAACTCTGTCTCAAAAGAAAACAAACAAACAAAAAGGAGAATCTCTGCTCATTTGTTAAAAGAATAAATCCAGATGGTTAAGTGTTTCACAGGTACAAAGAGATCATGTCTCAGGAGATGCTCACACCTTCAGAATCAGAACACATACACAAACCAGAACCCCATGTGGATTCTCTGCATCACCACAAAAACACAAAGAGTTACAAAGACAAAATGCAGAGGCTGTATAAATGGATGGTTTCCACAAGCACTGACTGAGGGCCTACTGTGTGCAAAGTGGTGCAACAGCTGCTAAAGACGCAAACACTGGTGGAAGCATCATTATTCATCTTACATTCCTAGCACACGGCAGAGTAGACACAAGAACAGTAAACACAAGTCCTTCCTAGATGTATCACCAGGTTTCAGTACATGCAAGAGCTGCCTGGGGGAAGGAGGCTCTCCTTCTCCCAGAGAAGAATTGAGACTAAGCAGGGAAGGGCGCACTGTCACATGAGGGATCTATCAAGGATCTGACTTCTAAAGGTAAACACTTCCAGTACCATCCATATAACTTTAGATGCCTTGCATACATTTATTTCAGTTTACTCTGAGCATACTGTTTTCACCAAAAATTATTCGAAGTCAATCTATTGTCACGCTCTCCAGTGTGCTCAGAAATAAACATCTCTCAGCACACAGAGCACTGCCCTCAGCAAGCTGTTCTGCCCAAATGCTTAAAAAATGTTTGTGGGGGAGGAGGAGGAGGGTAGTGAAGTGTCTAACCATTCAAAGGAAGAGCTTCTCTGGAATTACTTGGACATGTAAAAAACCCAAACTTATCTGCTGGTGGAAAGACCCTCTAATATTTCTCTCAATTAAAACAAAGTGTCCCAGCTTTCTCGGTATTGTTCAATCCAACCCTAAAACAAGAGTGACAGGTTTCTTAGTGCAGTCCAATGTTTCCACCACGAGGTTATTAGTACTAATTTTTCTGAGCAGAGAGTTGAAAACAGATTTATATTACAAACATAAACATAATTTCCTGCTATATGTCCTCTGAATACAGAGCACATGATACTGCCACGCTAGCCCAAACCGCCCCATTCCAGAAACCAGTGATGGTTCCACTCTGTTCCTTCTACACAAACCAAAGCCACCACTGGAAGGCAAAGCTGTGTGTGACTACCATAAAAACCTTTTTTTGTTTTAAAGTTCTTTGGACTATTCCAGTGTTAAATTTGAAGGAAAAAAAGGTATACCTTAATATAATATTAAACTACTTACCAAAAGTCTGAGTAAACAAAGACACATTTGTTATTTAGGGTGTAATATAAGACAAAATCCTCGGAAGGCAATTATTAATGCTAAAACAAGAAAATCTGAGAACAGGCTGAATATGAGAGAAACTAAAAAGTGAAGAAAACCAAATAACCCACTCATCCCCTACCATGTTGCCACTGTTCTCCAAAATCACTTGTTATGGGCAAGAGGCCGCCGAACCACTTGCTTTAATTTTATGGTAACATTTTCACTTGAAACTGACATTTTGATACTTTGTCTCACAAGGGAACAAATAACAGAGTTAGCAAAAGTTGCAGGGAAAATGTCACTGCTGAAAAGTGACCCCTGGAAAGGAAGCAGAAGTAGCTACCACAGCTATGGAAACTGGTGGCCAAAACAGCTTTCAGAGTGACATATGTTTTCTCTTTGAGTTTTACGAGAAAAACGCGTTTCAAAATACTGTCTGGTCCAAGATATACTCAGCAAACTATACTCTCAGAGGGGAAAAAACACTGCAGACAACCACTGAACATGAAGAATAGACGTGGGAGGTACACCTCATGAGCTTTCAGGGAGGACCTCCCGGAAGAGGGAGAGACTGTGCAATTTCAGAGGGAAACAGGAAATAGCCCTGTGAGGGGAAGAGGAAAAAGAAATGGACTCCATGAAGAAGGTCAGCGTGCCCAAAATGATGCAAGATGGTGCTACATGTTGCTGGCCCATGAGCTGAGGAGACACAAGCATGGCCCTCGGGATGCCTTCTGTCTACTATGGTAAAGAGCCTAGACTTAATCCTGGAGCATAGTTTTCTAAGATATTACAGGCAAGACAATTTAGATGGGCAAGGACAGTTTTATGTGTTATGGTTGCAATTAACTTTTTTTTTTTTTTTTGGGACACAGTCTTGCTCTTTCACCCAGGCTGCAGTGCAGAGGCACTATCTCGGCTGACTACAACCTCCACCTCCTGGATTCAAGCGATTCTCCTGCCTCAGTCTCCCAAGTAGTTGTGATTACAGGCGTGTACCACCATGCCCAGCTAATTTTTGTATTTCTTAGTAGAGACAGGGTTTCACCATGTTGGCCAGGCTAGTCTTGAACTCCTGAGCTCAGGTGATCCACCCGATGTGGCCTCCCAAAGTCCTGGGATTACAGGCATGAGCCACCGTGCCCAGCCTAGAGTTGCAATTAACTTCTATTCATGTCAAGTAATATTGGTTTTCCATTTATAATAATAAATGTATTTTAGGCTGATAGCCGTGGCTCATGCCTGTAATCCTAGCACTTTGGGAGGCTAATGTGGGCTGATTACTTAACGCCAGATGCTTGAGACCAGCCTGGCCAAAGTGGCAAAAACCCTGTCTGTACTAAAAATTAGCTGGCAAGGTGGTGTGTGCATGTAATCCTTGCTAGTGAGGAGGATGCCGCACAAGAATTGCTTGAGCCCAGGAGGCGGAGGTTGCAGTGAGCCATAATCATATCACCACATTCCAGACAAAACAACAGAGCAAGACTCTGCCTTAAAAAAAAATTGTGAAAGTTAAGCTCAAATGACTGATGTTTAGGAGACACCACTGCAAGAACTGGAGAGCCACTGGAAGAATGCAAAGAGATACAATTCTGTCATAGAACTCCATCCACCTGGACATTTATTGGGCACTGTGCCAATCACTAGTCTAGGCCCAACAGACAGAGCAGAGAAAATCCAGATAAGTGTATGTAAGGTTTACATTTTAGACAAAAAAAAAGAGGATCCAGGTCACAAATAAAATAAAGCCAGGTAAAAAGAGAGAGAAAATGATATTCAACATAAAATGTGGGGAGCCTTGAGAAGGCAGCAGAAGGGAACACGCCAAGTCATGACCTGGAGGAAGAGCAGGACAGGCGTGGGAAAGTGGGAGGCCTGGTGGGACCTATGGGCCTGTTGGAGGGAGCAAGATACCTGAAGGGCTGCAGCGGAGGAGCCAAGGCCAGAGAGGGAGCAAAGGGCTGGGCCCTGCAGGGCCTCGCCAGCCAGCACTCGGACGGCATTCCATGTGAGACGGCAGGACACAGAGAGTTTGGTGCGAGGAGGTGATACTATCTCTGGAGCATGAGTACACAGGCAGGAAGCCCAGGGAGGAGGCCCCCAAGGCAGCCCAGAAGAGACACAACGGTGTCGGAGGTAGGCAATAGAAGGGGAGACAAGAAGAAATGGTGAGAGGCAGTTTGCAGGCAGCGCTGGCTGGATTTACGGGTGAACTGGACTTACGTAAGGCAAGAGAAGCCTCAAACAGCATTTTTGTTGATGTCTCTCAGAGCCCAAGCCTGGGGATGAACAGTGATATCATCTAATAAAATGGAAAAGACAGAAGGGCCAGGAACTGAGAATGAGACTCAAAACTGCAGGTTTTGACAGATTGAGTCTAAGATGCCTGTGAGCACCATCATAGGCCTCTCCAGCGGAGTCGGATAAACCAGTGTAGAACTTAGGGGAGGTCAGGACTGGAACCATAGCATGGAGTGGTGTTTAAAGCCTTGGGACTGAATGAGACTGGAGGAGAAAAAAGGCTCAAGGATTAAGCCCAGAGGCACTTCAACATCTCAGGTGGGAAGGTAAAAAGCTTGGACTTAATCCTCAAGTGCAGTTTTCCAAGATATTATAGTCAAGATAATTTAGGGTGGTAATGACAGTTTTATTAGTTGTGTGTTTACTTTTGCAGGCAAAAGGGATTAAGAAAAAGAATAGTGAAGTATGTGGACAGTACAAGTAACTGCTGGAACGATTCTGCAGAGAGGTGAGCACTGATGGTGCAGGAGAGAGAGGACAACACTGCCAGGGCAAAGCCCCGAAGTAGGAGAGAAGACAGGAATCCAGTGCCTACACAGAGGGGCTTGCTATGGAAGCAGGGACAGTCCACTGGCCAGGGAGGAAGCCAGAGCAAGCCAACACTGGGAGGAGGGGGTGTTAGTGGAGGGAGCACAGAGCCCTTCTCTTCTGACTGCTTCTAGTTCCTCAGTGAAATCAGAGGAAAACAATTAGGAACAGGATCAGTGAGGGGTATCACAGTTTGAGAAAAGAGCATTCTCCTAGTGCGCAGAGGGGAATCTACTACGATTGCCACCCTGACTCAAGGCTTTCTAGTGAATCGTGGACAACATGTGACGTGAGAACTCAGGAAAGGATGTATGTTTTTTTCTAGCTACATTCAGCTGCTCAGGGGCATACACCACGTGGGCAGAATGGAGTTTAACCATTTATATTTTCCTAGCAACAGTGGGAGAGAAAAGTAAGGGATTATTCCATAGTACTAGAAAAATTAATTACTTATATGTCAAAATATTGAGTGGTCATTTCACGCTGTAAATCAAAGTAAGTTATAGATTAAATAGAGTTAAAGTAATAAGTAAAAAGTAAACTAGAATAAAAACTGGAAGAAATGACAAGCTAATATTTATTTCTTAGGACTGGGACAGAATCTTCCACGCAAAAGAGCAATGGAAAACATTATTTAAAAATATTCATTTGATGCCCAAAAGATGTATGAAAAAAATGCTCAACATCACTAATCATCAGGGAAATGCAAATCAAAATCACAGTGAGATATCATTTCATCCCAGTCAGAAAGGCTATTATAAAAAAGACAAAAGGTAAGTGTTGGTAAGGATGTGGAAAAAGGGGAATTCCTAGACACTGTTGGTAGGAGTGTAAATTAGCTCAGTAGTTATGCAAAACAGTATGCAGCTTCCCCCAAAAAACTAAAGATAGAACTACCACATGATTCAGCAATCCCACTACTGGATATTTATCCAAAGAAAAGAAAATCAGTATTCTCAAGAGATATCTGCACTCCCATATTTATTGCAGTACTATTTACAATAGCAAGATATGGACTCAACTAAATGTCCATCAACAGACGAATGGATCAAGAAAATGTGGCATGTATACACAATGGAATAGTATTGAGCCATAAAAAAAGAATGAAATCCTAACATTTTCAGCAACATGAATGAGCCTGTAGGATATTATGTTAAGTGAAAAAAGCCAGGCATAGAAAGACAAGTATTGCATATTCTCACTCATATGTGGAAGCTAAAAAACTTGACTGGATAGAAGTAGAGAGTAGAATGTGGTTACTAGAGGCTGGGAATGGAGGGTTAGCCAGATATTGGTTAACAAATACAAAATTACAGAGAGGAGGAATAAGTTCTGGTGTTCTATAGCACTGTAGGGTGACTATAATAATTTACTGTATATTTTCAAATAGCTGTAAGAGTGTATTTTGAATGTTCTCAAAGGAAAGAAATGTCTGAGGAGATAGATATGCTAATTACCCTGATTTAATAATTACACATATATATATGTATCAAAACATTACACTGTACCACACAATTATGTACAATTATGTGTCCATTTAAAATAATAAAAGCAAAACAATTCATTTGAGTAAAAAATATTAAACTTCTGTGTGTAATAAAAAAGCATGCAAAATTAAAAGGCAAATAATTAGTTGAAGATAAATATCTGTAATAAATATGACAATTTGAAACCCTTAATATATAACACCTTCATTCAAATCTACAAGTACACTAAAACTGCAAATGAAAGCAGCCAGAAGCAAAAACAGTTCATAACAACAAAAAAAAGCTGAGAAATCACATTTTACCTCACCGCCACGCCTCAAACATTAATCAAATTTTATTTTTGCTATCACGTTAGTAAAGACAAGAAAAAAAAATACTCAGGTGAGGGTCCATGAAACAGATACAGTTACAGACATTGCTAATGAAAGTGTAAACTGGCACAACCCTTCTAAAAAGCTAACGGTCAATACACACCCAAAAGCTTAAAAAATGTAATACCCTTAGGCTGTAAAAATTTGTGGTCCCAACAAACTATGTACTTACACTAATGCTTATTATAGCACAAGTTCTAATTAGCATAAAACTAATTTTCCTAAATTTCCAACAATATGAAAACAGTATGACATGAGGCAATGCTCATTTCATAATGGGAAAAAAACAGGAAACAAAATGTTTATATGTTATTCCAATTTTGGATATGTCTATATATGTGTATGTTTATGCGTATGTATATAAACCTCAAAATGTCTGAGGCTATTTCAGACTAATGGTTCAATTTTTTTCCCCAGTAGCTTTTTCAATTTTGTCTTCAATGGGGACGCACTGCTTTTACAGTTATTTTAAAAAATAAAGACTAGAGGCACTTTCATGTTAAATAGATCTGGACATTGTGGTTAAATATGAGCTGACTGGCAGAAAAGGTGTTCAGTTCCATTTTATCTATCATAGTATTTATTTCATCAGTTTTCAAAACTGGAACGGAATTAGAGACCTGAAAGTGAACAGCATATTAGTAAGTATTCTATGCTACTCTTTGTTGTTTTATACAAAACTGTAAATGATTCTTAAGAATACAAAAGGAAATTAAGTAGTTCAATATTATTCCAATGCTTCTTTAGTTATTTCCCCTATCTTAAACACCATTTTCTTTCTCAAATAAAAACAAATTAGCCAAATTTTATAAGCTTATTCATTGAATTTTATTTTAGAGACAGGGTCTTGCTCTGCTGCCTAGGGTGGAATGCAGTGGCGCCATCATAGCTCACTGCAGCCTCAAACTCCTGAGCCTCAAGTGATCCTTCCACTTCAGCCTCTCAAGTAAGTAGGGTTACAGGTGCATGCCACCATGCCTGGCTAATTTTAAAATTTTTTTGTAGAGGTCGGGGGGTCTCACTATGTTACCCCAGGCTGGTCTCAAACTCCTGGCCTCAAGCAATCCTCCTGCCTTGGCCTTCCAAAGTGCTGGGATTACAGGTGTGAGCCACTGCTTCCCACCCATATATTTATATTAATAATATGGGCATACCTTTGCAAGGAAAGCCAGATGAATATTTAAGTAGGAGTGAGAGTTTCTCAGCTTGGTTGACCATTTGACTTCTCCCCTGCTCTAGAAGTTTATAAAAACCATCAGGCAACTACCAATCTTCTGAGAAAGTACAAACTTCATCAGTTGCCTTCAACAGTCTTATCAGCAGAGCTACAAGATCCCACAGGTTGTTTTCCAGCACAAACCTCTAAAAAGCTTAGACAAAATCATGAAGCTCCATATGAATTCGACAGTCTCTTTTTAAGCCTGACAGCTAAAATTTTCAAAGACTTCTTTTTTGTGGTTTTAAAATTTAGTTTTCTGAAAGGTATAATTTTGGCTGTCAAGTTATACCATGTTCCAGCAAAAAGGTAATAAAATAGAATAGCTGTATTTATACATGATACCAAACATATATGATAGACAACAAAATGTTGTCCTGATTCACTTCTAAAATACTCTATTGCTATAATTATTAATCATACAATGGTGGTTTATAATCATTACAAGAAATCCCAGAAAGGTAACATTTAAGCATCACAACCCCAATCTTGATGCTCTATTTTTATGTAGTTTAATACCTAAGCATGCTGTTAAAGTGCCAGTTCCCCTTCAATATAGAACATCGTCTTAGAGAGTTTCAGGTCATGCCCAGCATGACAACTTAAGA